TCGCGAACGGCGTATTTCGTAATCCAAAACCTCACGTTTTTGGATTACCTGTGCATGTGATTAATACACATTTCCCATTAACAGCCTCACGTTGTGGGTAGTTTATTTTCTCAAACATTCGATCGTGTAAAGTTCAAACTTTGACTGGTGAATTTGGTTCGCTGCCAGCTCTACAACGTGATATCGGTTTAAAGACGAAGCAAATTGTTTCAAAATTTCGCTGTACAGACCTTGGCCAAGTGACGTGCATATTTAGCGAACATTTTTAACATTATACTTAAAATGTTTAATATATTGAATGACTTCCTATTTAACGGGGGACTTGCAGGGGATGCAGAGTGACTCAAATTACCAAAAAGTTGACCGATATTTTGCTGAAACGTTATTTGAAATCAGATCTAAGAAATTAAGCAAGTATACGAATTTATATATGTGTAAATACTTTAGGCATTCCTTGAAGTTTCGATCTAGAAAGGAAACTTCGTTTTAGATATTAAAGAAGACGTAAACTTTACGATACACGAGAACCTTGGAATATCTTGGTTTTCTGGAAATAAAAATCCCTTGCTTCATGTCATTCGATAGCAGCAAGACATTTAAAGCGTATCCATCACGATTGGAGATAATTAACCCAGAAATAAAAGCACTCACTCACTAGCGGTAAAAATGAAACCACTTTCGGCTTGATAGATTGAGTAATCTTAATGTCTGCTTATAATCCAATCACTTTCTGCCATTGTAGAGAGTAATGAAAAATGCATTAGCAGGTTCTGTTGGCCGTTAACGTCAATCATTTGTTGCTTCTTCAATTGTTTTTCTGTCTCAACCGTCTTAACCTTTAGCGCATCAAGTCGATTTCGTGAAAATGTTAGCGATGATTCCGTAAGCAATAAAGGATCATGGCCTTACGTATTTTAACAAAAAAGGGAAAATTATAAGTTAACATTTTCAATTTGCAATATTTTAAAAGTTGATGTCTAGAAACAAAATTGGTGGATAAGTCATAGTCTTGCTAGCTTTAATTTCTTCATTACGTTACAAACTGCTGTTATTATTATACTAATAGAAGTAGACTCAAGGGTAGACCTATCCTTATGTCAACTGTAATCCTGAGATAAGTCCCCTCCAAATATGAAATAATGTACAGATCGTTCTATTTCTAAGTATTGTTTTGTTATGACAAGATTTACATTTTATTTGTCTACGGCTTGGGGGAAGGTTACATGAATATTTCTATACATAATAGCCATCACATAGTAATCGGATTATAAACAGCTTGAATTGGGCATTGTTAAGAAACCGGCCAAGAAAAATAATTGTAAAGATTAACACATCCATCTTAATTAAATAATAGTCGTCCTAATTCTCTCAGACTCGACTAACAATGCACTTAAGATCACAACGAAGTAGGTAACTATGTGTCGCATTCGTTTGTTCAAATCGTATGTGTGGTTTCGTTAGTGTGTGATCGAAATCGTACCACTAGTGAGAGTTTAAAGTGTACAGGAATGCAAAAAATGAAAGAGTCAAAAGAATTTCCGAAATTTTTCCGTGATCTTTAACATACTGTATTTAGGTGAAAAATGGTCGTACCGGGAATTAAAAAGAAGCATTTTGATGCTCCAAGATTCTAGTTTTTAGATCTTACGGTTGAGATTTTTTAGGAGCTACGGTTATTATGCAATTCTAAGAAATAGCGCTAAAAAAATTTTTTTTTTTTACTTTCAGAGCACGGACTTGGATTTTTTTTTCAGCTAAGCCATTGCATGGACCAGATAGCTCGTTTATTCTGCTTCAATTTTCTTTGTTTCAAATTTCGATGCGACCATTTTTCATCAAAATATCGGACTTTTAATGGAAAAGGATCCTTTTGTCTTCAATCATCGATATCTGGGCGACAAATGGTCGTACAGAGAATTGAAGGGCTGTTTCGAAAACTGGAATAAATTTCCTATAACATGCTGCCGCAACTTGCCGGGTAAAAGTCCATGGATCGTGAAAAATAAAAAAAAAATTGCTAATTTTTTTTGTAGCGCTATTTCTTAGAATTGCATGATAACCGTAGCTCTTAAAAAATTTCGATCGAAAGATCTAAAAACTACAATCTTAGAGCTTCAAAATGCTTTTTTTAATTTCCGATACGACCATATTTTACCTAAATACAGTCTGTCAAAAATCACGGAAAAATTTCGGAAATTTCTTTGACCCTTTGATTTTTTGCATTAGTGAATATAGATGTTTTATTGAGCTCCCTATTACTATATTATTTGAGAAGTACAAGAATAACAATTGTATGTATCTGGTGTCTTTAAAAGCTTTTACAAATTTTCAACTGTTTTTAAAACTGTTCCCATTATTTTAAATCCAAAATATTTAAAGTTAAATGATAAGAGAAACATTTTTTACATTAAAAATAATAAAAATAGAGATATTTGATATTCGATGTCGCTTCTGAATCAAAGTAAATTTAGTTAATCTCCCTATATAGTTGTGATTTCACTTAATAGTAACAAATTGCTTTAATGTAGATGTCTTGTATATGCCACATTAGTTTTTTTCTTCATAAAATTCCGATGTTCCAACTCTATACAAAAAAAATAATCTAGAAAGCATTTCGGAATGACAGCGAGAAAATCGTAATTGGATTACTAGAATGATTCCCGTTCTCTAACAGCGTATAAACGTCCAAGTCAATTTGTTATAGTTTCTGATTGACGGTCGTGACATATGAAATTGGTTCTTGTCTATTCCCATGTTAAATGGAAGATATCTTGCACGGATTGCTGTCGTTCCACAACTTTTGGGAGGCGCCCATTAGCTTAGTATATAACTTTAAGATCAATCAGTATGTGGTTATTAACATAATTCATCTCGGGCAGTAAGATTTTGATCGAGTAGTTTTTAATGCATTGCTCTGCTTTATGTTTGAGTGAAGCAAACGTGTTTCAGAGAATTGCAAGTCAGAAAATTCTTTAACAAACTTATGGGTCGCTTCTTTAATAGAAATATTTTATTTAAAAAACCGACGAGTTGCCCCAAAAAAATTATTCCAAAGCGAAATACAGGTTCAGAAGTCGAGTGACCAAATATTTTTGTAGCACCTTGACCAGCAATATAGCGTACATTTTAGAAATATTTCTATCGAATAATTCGCAAGCAACCTTTTGCCTCCAAACTGTAGTTTTGAGTCTACCTCTATCGTTTTGTTATTTGGACAATAGCAGAAGAAATATTTCAGACGAAAATACTTCAATGTTTAAGCGGAAGTTAATTTTACTTTTTTTATTTATGTTACACGATGTTTTTCTAATACTCTCCTCAATAAATCATGTTCAATAATTTCGTCACTCAAACGCCAGTCACTCTGTAGACTTGTTAAAATAAATTCTGTTTTATTTCAAGTAAATCACAAAGTGATTTTATTTGATTTCTAGAATCTGTTTTAGTACAGTAGAAATATTTACTTTTTATATTTTTATTGATTTATACTTTGGGATCATGACCTTTTGGCGATTATTTCTTTGGAAGTTCGTTGTGTTGAAGCCTTACAATTAGTGTAATAATAAAATTTAGGCCATATTTGATAAGTATGTAGTAAATTAATAAACATCAAAAATAGGAGTGTAAATATAAGAATATTATAAGAAAAACATTACCAGTAAATAGATCTTTATATTTTAATGAAGATATACCCAAAATTTTCTAGCTCGTTTAAATTTGCTTCAATTTAGAATCGGTTATACCGAGCCTTCATAAATGTTTGTGTAAATGTAGTTCTCTGTAATTTTTTTAAAACGAAAAATCTATTACATTTTGAAACCGGTTGCATTTAAAACTGTTCGAGCCGAATATTTTCTGTCCGAGGTAAAATTAGAAGGTTTTCCGAGATTGTAGCTCCTTTCCGCCTCCGCATAGCCTTAATTGACGTGGAGATGTACCGAAACAAGTCGAGTTTCCTGGTTAGATTGGATTTCCAATAATTAACCGAGCTCGGGGGGGAGTCTGTCGTTATGGGAATGATGAAGTACATTCGAGGACGGCCCTGTTAGCTGCTGGAAATTGAATTACGTATTTTTATTATGATTTGTGCGCGAAAATAGAATAATTTCAAATATTTCGAATTTTTACCACCTAGAACGGCGGTGACAATATTTTTAACATTAAGGCGATGTTTCGCATTGTATTAGCTATGTCCTTTCCAAATTTGGTTTGTGAAGCTCTCTCGGTTTCGGAAATACAATGCCTATGTATGTTTTCAGCCACGAAAATTGAATAATTCCAAATATTTCGAATTTTCACCGCCAAGAACGGCGGTGACAACAGTTTTAACATTAAGGCGATGTTTCGATATTTAACAAAAACATATGCATGACATATCGAATCACAAAATCGTGAATTCTTGAAAGTAGCAGCCTTCCTCGCTTAAGTAAGTAAATGTATACAAAACGCCGACATTTGTAGAACATAATTTTCCAGTTGTCGTCCGCTTCGAGGCGTGTATTCCTTGTCAAGTCGCTTGAATTGTTTTCCTGTTTATTTACAATGCAGCCATGCGTGTATTTTTAGAGTTAACGACCAACTATTTAGATTAACCAAACAATTTGTATTAAAACGCCACCGAGTAGGCTTCAAGTAGGTGTAGATTACTAATTTGTTTATTTACAAAAGATATTCGAGTTCATCGGCTGTAGGAAGGCTTTGTCACCGTTTGTAGATTAAGAATGATTCAGTGATATCGTTTAATTTTAATCGAATGGTACTATCTTTGCATTCACTTGAATATGAGTCATCGTTAGGATTTATATCTGTCTTAACAAAGAAAAATTGATACAATGTATCAACCACACAAAAATAGTTGACTCCATACAATGAAGTTGATCTGATTTCCAATTAACTGAATCTCATGAACTTTTTTCTACAAGTCCAAAAATCGTGGCAGCCAATCTTTTGCTCTTAACTTCTCTGCCACAACTATTTCAAATGTATTTTTTTTGTTGCAGAGCCGATCGAGAAAAAGTCAGAGTAACCTTTTTTCAGCAATCGAAGCCCCTAGAAGTCGACCTACCGGATGAGCCTATCTTCACTGAGACAGATTTCATGATGGCGTCTCCAGTAACTATGACAGAAACAAACCATGTGGTTTACAACAGGACTGAAAGGTAGAAATTTTTGTCTTCTAACTGTATTCAACCAAAGTAACTTTTTTGGCTGTTTTGCCAGTGACTGACCTTACCTTTCAAACATATTATTTTTTTATTTTAATCCACTCGCTTATAACAGAAGAAATCGATCCGTAAATAATTTTATACAAAGACTTGAATGGTTTTTAAATCACGTTCTGTGCTGGTCCTTTGAAAAAACTCGTCTAGACTGTACCATGTCGACTCGAATTTGAACCACGTCGAGTTTTATATAGAAAAAATAGTTTGCAGATTCAGATGAGAGATATCGTAATTTTTTTTGAGCGATTCTTCTGGGGCTCGCCAATTTGCGGAAAAATATTTCAATTTTATTTCACTTTTGAATATTTGCTCTTTTGCTTCACTTACAAGTGACTGTCGTGTGCCAAAAACATTTTGAACACACTTGTTACATCCTACTTTAGGATTTTGTCGTCAGGGAAGATTGAACTCCGAATTATTTCAAGCAATATGCTGATTATCAAGGTCAATTCCTGAAAAAATATATCTTTAAGAACCTAATGAAGCGTAGTTTCTGGTTCGCTACGTTTCCGTTCTAAGTGTTGGAAATGTAAGCGATCATTGAAAATGCCAAGCCGCTTGACATTATGCTAGTGACGTGAAGTTGCCACGATCAACTGTTGCATAAATGTCATCGACCGGTATTTTTAACGCTACATTTATTCTGACGGATATGCTGAGACTACTTACCGTTAATTACTCTCTTTATCACCTGATGCATCCAGCTCCTCTAAGGATGACATACTATTTCCATAGAAAGCCAAAGAATAGAAAAAACAACGTGCTTTTAACTTATTTCGTATCTCTCATAGTTTACGAGGCGCCAGTGATAGAAAATGAGAAAGTATACACTCTGTAGATATACCGAAAGCCATTGTTTCGGAACTAAGGACACGAAAAATACTATTAACGGGAAATCAATGTTTATGTACATTCTCATGGGTAAAAAAAATTTCTATTCGTTTCAGAGGATAAATAATTATGACATTCGAGTGATTTAAATCCTCGTACCCTACATTTTGCTTGTTTACATCCGTAGTAAAGCAGAGCTAAACTAGGACAATTCTACGAGACTAAAATCAATAAAAGCTAGCTGCAAAAAGTCTGAAGATCTGCCAAGTGGGTTATTCGAGATGAGTTTCTAGGTTAACAAAACTCCCAGCTTGCGAGGAAGTTGGCATGGAGTTTTCTTACCGAGAAAATGAATTAAATTGGGATGAAAAAGGCTATTTCTTTTTGTTGAAACTCTAAAAACCACTGATTGAAAACTAAATATATCTACCTACTTGCCTCAGGCACATTTTTCTGCACACTTATGAAAACAAATATAGCTAGACGAGAAAAGTAAAAGGTGTGGTCTTATTTCTATATAATGCAGGGTGCTAGGTAATTTTAAACGCTAGTAACTGTTTTTAAGAACTTTTTTTCAAACAAATTTCTCACAAAGCTTGTATAGACTTTCCGAAATCAGTCAAACATGTATAAAAACGCCTAGCAATAAATATGATGATGTAGATATATATTCCATGACAGACATTAAAATATTTTGTTGTAAAAGTGGGATGTAAATGCAACTTTAAACAAACACCAGTTTAGTTAAGATTAGATGTTTATCCGTTGATCAAAATAATTTGATGATGAAATTAAAATGAATTTTTACACCATATTATTTTGATCAAACCAATTTAGTGAAATACTAAAATAATAAATCAAAATTGCCCTAATATGGTTCGAAAAGTCACGAGTTATTTTTTTCGCATGGTTAATTTGGCAGTTTTATCAAACTTGTTCATGACAAAACGACGTCGACAAACTATTTTGATAAATGAATAAACTTTGATGAAAATTCAATAGTCTGACACGGATCTTATGCATAAATGTGAAATTTTCGTCTTATTAAAACGCTCATTTTGAACATTCGTTTGTAAAATTCCAAAGTGTCTCGCATAGATTGCCTCATGACTTTCCTTAAATTGGATGATCTCACTCTTGGCAGATAACGTAGGTGTGTCACAAAGCAGTTACAGATAATAACCGGCAACAAGTAGTAATTGACGATAAAGTCCTTCGGACGAATTATATCGCTGAACTTGGCCGGTAATGATAAATAACGATGTAATATTTTCACTCTGACTTACCACCACAGAGTAATTATTATTATTACGGTTTGCCTATCTGTCCTCCAGTTACTTTTTCCTCGATGTAGTTAACCGAGATGACAGGGGGTATTTGTTTGTTACTACCCAGATCGAGGTACTTGTAATAAATTACTGCTGTGAAGAGTTGCTACAGCAACAATGTCTTTAATCGTCTGTCACATCATGTATTTTAACAAAGCACAAACTTCTTTCAATTGACAGTAACTGTAATTTAATGCCGATGTGGATTGGACGTTATTAGGATTTGACCTTTGAATTTGGCCATGTGGCAAAGGTTAACCTGGAACGTCGACGTTGATTTGGTTATTTTAGAAAAAGGTGACATTCGGGGGTTCGTAGAACATACTCTTCAAAAGTTTACAAATCTCAACCAACAACATTTTAAAGCTGTTTCATGGCACCGTAGGAAAAATAATAAATCTACATTCTCTTGTTGCCACGATGTTTTTCCAATTTAAAATCTTCCGAATCAACTAACCGATTGTTTGTAATTCCAATCGCTCTTTTAATATTTGAAACATAAAACCTTTTGAACGTGATACTTCATAATAAATTGGAGCACCATGCGGTGTAATGAATAGAAAAACGATTAGTCTTAATGAAGTGTAAACAAATGCTCTAGATCAAGTGTAAGGTAAATAACCGAAGGTGTTATATTCCTATTGATAGATACTTGTGCTTACCCTGCAACTTTCTAAAAGTGATTTTTAATAGTGGGGCATTCCGCTTTTAACCTCGACCCCTTTCGATTTGGTTGAAACTGTTATTGTTTTCTACCCCAGTAAAAACCTCTGAGAATTTTTTAAAATTTTTTCGCCCAACTCAAAAAAAGATGAATTTTTGAAAAAATTGTTTTTTTTTAAATAACCATAACTTTTTTCAAAAATTGAGTTTTCGCGACGTTTTTTTTTCAAAATTTTTGTTTTTAAATGAATTTTTTGAAAAAAATAGATCAAAATTATCTGGACCTATCTTCACTGTTTCTTTTTCAATTTTCGAAAAAAAACCGATTTTATCGATAATTACCATTTTTGAACTTTTTTTTTCTTATAAAAAAGTGACATTTTTTATAAATCCTCAAATTTTGAGGCGTTTTTCGTTTTTTATTTTTTTTATTGATTGAAAAAAGAATTCCAATTTAGCTTATTTCACATAACACCATTTTGAACATTTTTGAAAATGTATTTAGAATCCCAAAATTGAAAAAATTTATTCTATGCAGCGATTGATGACAATTTCAAAAAGTCAAAAAAGGATGGTTTCAAAATGATTTATTTGAATTCAAATGCGTTGCATGTATTTTTTTAAAGCCCACTATTCGTCCAAAAATAAACCAAATAACAACTTTTTTTTCTTTTTTTTTTTTTTTGGTTTTGTTTTTGGAAAAAAATACAAAAAAATTATTCAAAACGATCTTCTATTTTTTTCTTAACTTTTTTAAAAAAATCGAAATTTTTTTCATATTTACCTCTCAATTTTTTCTTTCCAATATTTTTTTTCAAATTTGGGATTCTATATACTTTTTCAAAAATTTTCAAAATGGTATGTGAAATAAACTAAATTTAAAAAAAATATTTTTTCAATCGATAAAAAAATAGAAAACGTAAAATCACCACTAAAAAAATTTGAGGATTTATAAAAAATTTCAGTTTTTTATAAGAAAAAAAAAAAAATTCAAAAATGGTAGGTATTAATTCATCGAGAAATTTTCGTATTTTTTCGAAAATTGAAAAAAAAACATTGAAGATAGGTCCAGATAAATTTGATCTATTTTTTTTCAAAAAGTACCTATATTTAAAAACAAACATTTTGAAAAAAAAACGTCCCGATAACTCAATTTTTGAAAAAGTTATGGTTATTTAAAAAAAAAGCTAAGGTTTTCAATGCGGTACACCATAACAATAAAAAAATCACTTTTGGAAAGTATCTATCAGGAGGTATTAAAAATATCTGTCCCAGCTTGATTAAAACCGTCCGTTTTGAAGAAAAAGAATTAAAAAAGGTCCTGCAATCTAAAAAATCTGGTTCAAGGAGTGACGAGATGTATAAGTCCCATTTATGGTACTACGAGTATTTATTGTTTCTCACAGACCAGGAAATACCAAGAGAAGAGAGTTTATTCGTCCATTCACAAATAATTAAACCAATCTACCGGCTCTAGTCGTAATTCATGCAAAAGATTTACGTACGGGTAAAACTGCCAAAAAGAACGTGTGTTTATGGGGGGGCCTTAAGATCTGATTTCTGAATAAATAAAAGTCAAGTGTCTATTACGCTTTCGAATGTAAGGACGCCAAACTAAAAATGAATGTGTAATGTTTGTAACTTGGAAAAATTTGCGAGGTTTAACTGAAAATACACCGTGATCGTATCCTGAACTATATTTATCCACTGTTTATTTACATAGTGTGATGTCATATATTTTTTAAACGACTATTTTGAAAATAGTATTACCCCATCAATGAAATTTATTTTTGATGTGATATATGACGTCCAGGTACTTTAAACAAAAGAAATCCTTACGAATATTGTAGCTCAATATTTTTTTAAACGTCAGCGTCCTTTTTAAGTTGAAGTTTCGTCCTCTTTTAGAATTCGCCTCTTCATATCTGAATCAATTATATTCCTTAATGATGTTATATACAGGGTGATTCACAAATTATTTAAAAAAAAATTAAAAATATTTTTTGACGTTTAACACCTTGTATCTTTTTAACGAAGCGCCCTACGTAAAAACTTTATAGGAAAGAAACCCCTTAAAATTCACCAAAGAACACGAGGTTTCATCATCACAATTTG